TCTGTAGTGATGTCCTATCATTCATTTCTGATATTAGGAATTTCTGTCTTGTGTTCATTATTTTTTTAGTTAGCCTGGCTATAGGCTTATCAATTTTATTGATCTTTTTAAAGAATCAGCTTTTTAGATGTTTATTTCTTCTCCAGACTTTCATTTTCAATTTTATTTCTGTTCTAGTTTTTATTTATTTTCTTTTGCTTCCTTTCAAGGTAATTAGCTTTTTCCCCCCTTGTTTCCAAAGGTGGAAATATAGATGTTTTAGTCCGTTTTGTGTTGCTATAACAGAAATACCTGAGACTGGATAATTTATAAAGGCAAGAGGTTTATTTGGGTTATGATTCTGGGACAGCTGCATCTGGCATGGGCCTCAGGCTGCTTCTACTCATGGCAGAAAAGTGGCAGGCAGCTGGTGGGTACAAGCAGATCACATGGCAAGAGGAAGCAAGAGAGAAAGCAAGAGAAGGTTCCAGGGTCTTTTTAAGCAACAAGCTTTTGCATGAACTAATAGAGTGAGAACTCATTAATCCCCCCTCCCCCAGGGAGAGCATCAATCCATTAATGAGGGATCCACCCCCATGACTAAGTCAGTTTCCATCACTTTCACATTGGAGATCAAATTTCCACATGAGTTTTGGAGGGGACAACACATCCAAACTCCACCATTCTACCCCTGGCCTTCCAAAACTCATGTCACTCTCACATCCAAAATACAATCATTCTATCCCAATAGTCCCAAAAGGCTTAGCTTGCTCCAGCACCAACTTAAAAGTCCAAAGTCTCATCTGAGACCAAAAGGAAAAGTCCTTCCAGCTGTGAACCTGAAAAACAAAACCAAGTTTATCTACTGTCAAGATACAATGGTGGAACAGACATTGGGGATACGTTCCCATTCCAAAAGGGAGGAGTAGGCCAAAAGAAAGGAAAAACAGGCCCCAAACAAGTCTGAAACCCAGCAGGGCAGACATTATGTCTTGAAGCTGCAAAATAATGTTCTTTGACTCCAAGTCCTGCATCCTGGGCACATTTGGGCATCTGGGCCCCCAAAGCATCAGGCACCCTTATTCCCACAGTTCTGCCAGGTGCAGCCCAGTGGGCTGTGCTGGTGCCTGCAACTTTTCCAGGCTGGTGTTCCACCCTGGTAGCTCCATAAGTCTGGGGTTTCCATGGTGGTCCCACTGCCTTGGCTCTATGAGACATTTCCCTTGTGGGGGCTCCCTGTGGGGGTTCCAACCCCACTTTCCTGCTCAGCATTGCTCTAGTAGATGGCCTCAGCAGTGGCTCTGCCCCTGCGGCAGGTCTCTGCCTAGCCCCCAGGCTTTTCCATACATCCTGTGGAATCTGGGTGGAGGCTGCCACACCTCTACTGTTCGCATGTCCTTCTGTCCTGCAGACTTAACACAAAATGGACGCCCCCCAACGTTTTGGGCCTCTACTTTACAGGGCTGCTACACAAACCACACTTGGGGCTGCTCCAGCTGGAGCTGCTGGGATGCAGTGAGCAGGAAACTGAGGGCAGCTGTGCCCCAGGTCTGTCCCTCAGGATAACTCAGTTTTTCTAGGCCTCAGGGCTTGTGATGGGTGGGGCAACCTTCCAGACTTCTCAAATGCTTTTAGGGCATTTTTTCCATTGTCCTGGTTCTTAGCATCTGGCTGCCTCACCGCCAAGATAATGTGTTTAGCAAACAGTTTATCAGCTTCACCCTTGCATTTTTCTCCTGCTCTCCACTTCTGTAACACATGGCCAGGTTGCAAATTTTCCAAAACTTTACGCTGTGCTTCCCTTTTAAATTCTGGCTTTACATTATGCTTTTGCTGCCATAACTCAGAGTAGGCTGTTAGAAGGAGCCATGCAGCATCCTTAATGCTTTGCTGCTTAGAAATTTCTTTGGCCTGGGCCGGCCTGTGGCTCACTCGGGAGAGTGTGGTACTGATAACACCAAGGCCGCGGGTTCGGATCCCACATAGGGATGGCCGGTTCGCTCACTGGGTGAGCGTGGTGTTGACAACACCAAGTCAAGGGTTAAGATCCCCTTACCGGTCATCTTTAAAAAAAAAAAAAAGAAAGAAAAGAAAAGAAATTTCTTTGGCCAAATGCTCTGGTTCACAACTCCTAAGTTCTAACTTCCATGAAGTCCAAGGGCATGGACACAATGCAGCCAGGTTCCTTGCTATGGTGTAACAAGGGTTATCTTTTGTCCAATTCCCAATAAGTTCTTCATTTCTATCGGAAACCTCATCATCCGCATGGCCTTTACTGTCCACGTTTCTATCAGCATTCTGCTCACCACCACATAAGTCTCTAAGACATGCCAAACTTTCCCTTGTTTTTTTCTCTTCTGAGTCTTCCAAAGTCCTCCAACCTTTGCCCGTCACCCAGTTCCAAAGCTGCGTCCACATTTTCAGGTATCTGTTTAGCAACACCCCACTCCTCGGTACCAATTTTTGTTTTAGTCCATTTTCTGTTGCTATAACAGAAATACCTGAGACTGGGTAATTTATAAAGGAAAGAGGTTTATTTGGCTTATGATTCTAGAACAGCTGCATCTGGCGCGGGCCTCAGGCTGCTTCTACTCATGGCGGAAAAGCGGCAGGCAGCCGGTGGGTACAAGGAGATCACATGGCAAGAGGAAGCAAGAGAGAGAGAAAGAGAAGGTTCTAGGGTCTTTTTAAGCAACGAGTTCTTGCAGGAAATAATAGAGCGAGAACTCACTCATTAATCCCCCTCCCCCAGGGAGAGCATCAATCCATTCATGAGGGATCCCTCTCCTTGGCTCAATCAGTTTCCAACACTGCCACATTGGAGACCAAATTTCCACATGAGTTTTGGAGGGGATAACAAATCCAAACTCCATCAATAGATTATTGATTTTAGATGTGTTTTTGTTAAAGTACGCATCCAGTGTCATAAAAATTTGTGAGAACACTGTTATTTCTGTATCCTCCGAATATTCGTGTCATTTTCTTTTCTTTTTTTTTTTTTCTTCTGGTTGCTGTTCAGTATGGGAATCAAAATCCTTGACCTTGGCATAACAAGGCTGTGCTCTAACCAACTGAGATAACTGGTCAGCCCCATTTTCACTTTAGTTTATTAAAAATATTTTTAATTTTCTGGGTTTTTTTTTTTCATGTATTAGAGTGTATTGTTTAATCCCACTCTATTTAGGGATCTTGTATTAATTGCTCTGTTGCCAATTTCTAGTTTAATTCTTTTGTGGTCTGAGAGCACATATTATATGATATCTATTATTTCAATTTTCCTAAAGTGTTTATGTGAATCTAAATATGGTCTTAGTGATTTTTTATGTGAGTTTGAGAAGAATGTCTGTTCTGTTGTTGGAAGAAGTACCGTGTAGTTATCCATTATATCCATATCATGTTATTCAGTTTAACTATGTCTTTTATGGTTTTTTTCTGCTGAATTGGTTCATTTTTTATAGAGGTTGTTGAAATCTCCAGTTTTGATGATGGATTCTTCTATTTCTCCTTGAAGTTCTATTAGGTTTTCTGTCATGTAGTTTGATAATCTATTGTAAGGCACATACATATTAAGAAATGTCCTCTGGGAGAACTAACTCTTATATTATGATGTAATGCCACTTTTTCTTCCCCTCTATCCTATGTTTAAAGATAAAGTGTTTCTGCAGATTCTGTACTTGTTCTTTTTTTACTTTCAACCTTAGGTTCATGTCTTCAACCTTAGGTTGATGTCTTCAAATAACATGGAAATTTTGATACTTTTCAAATCTTTGTTGTCAGCTTAACCTTATCTCTTGAATGCTGGAATCATATATCCAGTTGTCACTTGGACATTTCCACAGATATTTCAAGTATTATGTATTCAACTCTGTTTTACTTCTGCTCTTCATATTTTTCTCCCATTTTTCAAACTTTGCTTTGCAGTTCCAGGACCTAACTAGTTGTGCTTATGTAGATAGCCTGATAGTAAAACTCTTCTTTTTAATTTCTGCACAGCAAATTACTACCACATCCTGTTTCTGCTTTTTCATTCCGTTTCTTTTTATAGTGTTAAGTCTCTCTTCTGTGTGCTGACTTTTCTGTGTTGTAATGTAGTTGGTCTTCTGTCACCCTGTTTTCTTTTTCCTTTTGACTCTCCCTAAAAGCTTTTTCCATTCTCTTTGTAGTGGATGACTATTAAAATACAAATAAAGTTATGTACTTACAGGACCACATTATTTGCTCCCTGTGGTCTAGAAAGTTGCAGTGTACACCCTGTTGTGGACACAAGAAATCCTTTGGCACATAGGAAGGAAATTTTGGAATGCCTTTTTAATGTCCTTTTAGTTCATAAGTAATTAAAAAATGATAACTACATAAAATGTTTTACTGTTTGAAATAGGTCCCATATTTAAGTGCAGAATCATTCTATAATCAGTTGCTTCAATATTGTTTTTCCCTTATGCTTCCCAATATCATCCACTCAGACATGGTGCTGTGTGTAGTTCCATTACTGTGGGGTGTGTTCTTTGTGTTCATGTGACTGGGCTTTTGCTGTTGCCTCATATTCATGAGACCATGCAGTTCACATGGAAGAGTTTAACATCTTTGGCATTTTAATGAAGTGCAAACTGAATACAAAGTAAAGCTATATTGTCTGTTTCTTATGCCAGTCTATATTGAACTTGTGTTTAAATTTGTTGATCTAACACAGTATTTCAGGTATGTATTTATACTTATGTCTTCATGCCTGTTTATACTCTCTGTGGAACTGAAAAATTTTATTCACATTTTTATCACTAGCAACAAGGATATTTCTTAAGATATAAACTAAGTTTTGTAATATTATTTTTATTAATTGGTAACTTAGTAGAGTACCAAGATATTTGTCCTTTGATTTTTCTTCCTCCCATTCTATGGAGTACAACAAAGTGGCATCTTATCTAAGACACATATGACATACACACACAGAGATGTGAACTCCCAGATTTCTGTTTTATGACCCAGAAATGTTGACTTGAGTTGAGAACAATGTTTCATTCCAGGACTTGGTATCATTTGAGGATGTGGCTGTGGACTTCACCTGGGAAGAGTGGCAGGACCTGAATGATGCTCAGAGGACTTTGTATAGGGATGTGATGTTGGAGACCTACAGCAACCTGGTGTCACTGAGTGAGTAAAACTCCCCAGTAACTTTCAGGAGAAACAGTTTCTTTTTTATTCATAAATATAGGAACCATTTATAGGGTTTCATGATATTTTAGTAAGATTACATTTCTTGAAAATGTGCTCTCTTTCTCATGAGGTTCAAATTGGCCTCTTTATTACACAACTTCTGAAGCTGAGCTCTTGTCATTCTTCCAAAGATCAGACTTAGCAGTTTTACAAAGTCCTACATTACTTTCCATTAACAGAATACCGCATTAACAAAGCTGAGGTGATTGTCAGGGTAGAAGGAGCAGGGCCATGGACAAAGAAGAATGCCCAAACCAGATCCTGCAAGATTTGTCAGCACATACAGTGCAGAAGCCAAGAAAAGTAAAGCTTATTAGATGTTGGAAGTGTTCAGCTGTTCCTAGCAATTTTCCCTAGTCCCAGACTTCAGGATGGCTCACCTGCAATCCTGTATTACATAATCTCCAAGGTGGCATGTCCCATGTACATTCCAATATTTCATTTGGCTGAACCTGTTTTGTATGTACCCTAAATCTAATTTCTACATTTCTCTTCTTTGACGTTTATTTTTCCTATTTGCTTTCTTAACATTTTCAGTTGTGCTTGTTCTTCAATTCTCATGTACTTTTTTTCATACTGTATCTGTTTGTTTTCTGATGTTTCTGACAGAATAGTTGCAACTGGGTAATTTATAAAGAAAAAATCTTTTTCTTACAAATCTGTTCTGGAGGCTCAGCATTCCAAGTTCAAGGGGTTGCATCGGGTGAAGGCCTTTGTTCTGGTGGGGACTCTTCACAGAGTCCCAAAGTAGTGCAGGGAATCACATAGCAGTTCATTAAGGAAATAGGAAAAGAGGCATAGCAATGAGCCTTGCATTACCACCTCAAAAATCATGAAGCTGAGGAGAACCCTGCATGGGAGAATGGAAAAGGGTGGTCCTAGACTTTGAAGGAAAACCAGAAGAATTTTCGTGCTAAGACCATGTGAACTAAGGGTTCCATGTTGAGAGAATAAGATTATTGATTGGGAGTGGAGTTCAAAGTTAGCATTTTTCTGATTTCTTTGTCAAAATCATTCAGAAAAAAAACCAAAATGGGAAATGTGCAGGACAGTCATTTTATGAGAATAGAAGACCACCAAAACTTCCTTGCACAAAACAAAAGCTTTCACAAGAAATGAATTATCAAGTGGTGGTCCATGTACCAGAAATTGGGAATACAATACATGTTGATTCGAGAAGGAGTCAAAAGAATATATTTCAAAGATGGTGGGAACAGCCTTGGATGCAGAACTGAATATTTTAGAACAGAAATGAGTGTCTAGGTTGTAGAACTGATGTTTCCTTTATTTTAATGGTTTATGAGAAGCAGAGGAAGTCAGGTTAAATGAAAAACTTGGAGGAAGCTATCTTTATTTAGGGTGGAGAAAAGCATATTTTATTCTTTGAAAAACTTCCACATTCCTATATCCATTTTCTAAGGGAGGAGTGTGAAGCATATAAACATGAATGCAAAATCCTTATCCTTAGCCATTTTCCTGCATATTTGATAAAAAATTGGCTCACTTCTATACCTGACAGTAGCTGATGATGGAAAGTCTAGCCATCTTCATAGTGAAATAATGAGAAAATAGCAGCAGGTGACACACATTGTTGTAAAAATGAAACAGAGAAAATGGTGTAAATAAATGAAAGGTGCTTATTTGAAAACTACAAGTAGGTAGATAATGAAAATTCTTAACAAATATTTACTCATAAATTAAAATTTAAAGATGAACAAAGAAGGAAAGGAAAACATGATATAACATTAGAAAATGTATTAGTACAATATTACATTGTCAGTAAGAAAAAATTCATAAACCAACACCCATTATTGATTTTTTTATAAAATCTTTTGTTACTAGGATTGGAAGGCACTTCTGTACCTTTATTTGAGCAGTCACTGAGATGTGCTTATGCGTTGTTCATTGTTAGTTATTTTTTTCTCATTTCAGATATCCAGATAGATGATGACCTCATGGAGAGGACCCAAGAAAGCCATGGTAGATGCTTCCAGCAAATTGTAATTAGCAACAGCAACAAATCAGCTGAGGAGAGAGTTGTGTTGGGAAAATCTTTTTATTTGAATTCATATCATGTTTTAAATCTGATTATAAATAATGGAAAGTATTCAGGAAAGAGACATCAGGAGTTTTACATATGTCAGAATGCACTTCTTCCTAAAGAGCCTGATGAGATGCCTGCTGCAGAGAAACCTGATGACTATCATATAACTGAAAAACTTCCCAGACATCATGAGCATCTTAGTCAGCATCCCAATATTCAGACTGGGAAGCAGCTTTTAAAATCCAGTGGAAAAGGGAAATCCTGCAGCAAAGAGCCAATAACATTTACACATAAAAAGATTCATATGGATGAGACCACCTATAAGTGTAATGAATATGGGAAAGGCTGTGGTAAGTCAGCTGTCATTGTCCAAGAAATAAATCAGGTAGAAAGGAAAACTTTTCAGTGTGGTTTATGTGGGAAAATATTCTGTAAAATGTCTGAACTCACTAAACATCAGATTATGCACACAGGAGAGAAACACAATAAATATACTGAATGTGAGAAATCTTTTATTAAGAAATTATACCTTACCTCACATCAGAGAAGACCTACGCAGGAGAAGCTTTGTGGTTGTAATGAACAAGAGAAAAATTTTTGTCAAAAGTCAGACCTTACGATGCATCAAGGAACTCACACAGGAGAAATGTACTATGGAAGTATTAGCTGTGGAAAAAGCTTATGTAAGAATTCACTCCTCAGCCATCCTGAGAAAATTCATACAGGTGTAATACCAGATGGATGTAACAAATGTCCAAAACTTTTCTACCATGAGTCAGCCGTCACTGTATATCAGAGAGTTCACACAAGGGAGAAGCCATCTAAAGAATATAAAAAAACATTTTACAGTAATAATTGTGGTAAAACCTTTCTCCAAAAGTCACACTGCAGCAGTCATCAGAGAATTTACGCAGGTGAGAAACCATGTCAATGTAAAGAAAGTGGAAAAGCTTTTAACCAAAGGTCAGATTTCAGCGGGCATGAGAGAATTCACACACACAAGAAACCATATGAATGTAGAGAATGTGGAAAAGCTTTTAGCCGAAAGTTATACTTAAGCATTCATCAGAGAACTCATACAGGTGAGAAACCATATGAATGTAAAGACTGTGGGAAAGCTTTTACCCACAATTCAGACCTCAGGAAGCATGAGAGAATTCACACAGGTGAGAAACCATATGAATGTAAAGACTGTGGGAAAGCTTTTACCCACAATTCAGACCTCAGGAAGCATGAGAGAATTCACACAGGTGAGAAACCATATGAATGTAGAGAATGTGGAAAAGCTTTTAGCCATAAGTTATCCTTAAGCATTCATCAGAGAACTCACACAGGTGAGAAACCATATAAATGTAAAGACTGTGGGAAGGCTTTTACCCACAAGCCAGACCTCAGGAAGCATGAGAGAATTCACACAGGTGAAAAACCATATGAATGTAGAGAATGTGGAAAAGCTTTTAGCCAAAAGTCACACCTCAGCGTTCATCAGAGAACTCACACAGGTGAGAAGCCGTATGAATGCAAAGAATGTGGAAAAGCTTTTAACCACAAGACAGCCCTCAGCAGGCATGAAGTAATTCATACAGGTGAGAAGCCATATGAATGTAAAGAATGTGGAAAAGCTTTTAGCCTAAAGTCATACTTAAGCATTCATCAGAGAACTCACACAGGTGAGAAACCATATGAATGTAAGGACTGTGGGAAAGCTTTTGCCCACAAGTCAGAGATCAGGCAGCATGAGAGAATTCACACAGGTGAGAAGCCATATGAATGTAAAGACTGTGGAAAAGCTTTTAGACTAAAGTCACGCTTCCGCACTCATCAGAGAACTCACACAGGTGAGAAACCATATGAATGTAAAGAATGTGGAAAAGCTTTTAGACTAAAGTCACGCTTCCGCACTCATCAGAGAACTCACACAGGTGAGAAACCATATGAATGTAAAGAATGTGGAAAAACATTTAACCAAAAGTCACACCTCAGCTTTCATCAGAGAATTCACACAGGTGAGAAACCATATGAATGCAAAGAATGTGGAAATGCTTTTAGCCAGAAGTCTCACCTCAGCAGGCATCAGAAAATTCACACAGGTGAGAAACCATATGAATGTAAAGACTGTGGGAAAGCTTTTATCCACAAGTCAGACATGAGGAAGCATGAGAGAATTCACACAGGGGAGAAACCATATGAATGTAGAGAATGTGGAAAAGCTTTTAACCAAAAGTCAAACCTCAGCATTCATCAGAGAACTCACACAGGTGAGAAACCATATGAACGTAAAGACTGGAAAAGCTTTTAACTACAAGTCACAGTTCAGCATTCATCAGAGAGGTCACACAGGTGAGAAACCATATGAATGTTAAGGATGTGGAAAAGCTTTTAGGCAAAAGTACTTCAGCATTCATCAGAGAACTCACACAGGTGAGAAACCATACAAATGCAAAGAATGTGGAAAAGCTTTTAACCAAAAGTCACATCTCAGCAGCCATCAAAGAATTTGCATAGGTGGGAAACCATGTGAACATAAGGAATGTGGGAGAACAGTTTACTGGAACTCATCATAATAGACATGAACAAATTCACACATTGGAAAATTCCAATTAATGTAATGACTGGGAGATTGTTTTGCCATAAATCATGTCATGTTTCATCAGAGAACTCACACCAAGAAGCAGCCCTATAAATGCACAACTGTCCCTTGGTATTGGAGGGTGGTTCGAGGAGCCCATTGATGAAAACACTTGCAAATGATGAAAGCCCTTCTGTAAATGGTGTACTGTTTCAATATTACGTGTGAACTTTTTTCTGTGTCCTTTACATCTTGAGTAGAATATTTACGTTACTGAATAAAGAATTCCTTGTAAATAGTTGTTATACCATGTTGTTTTTTACTTGTATTATAGTTTTGGTTTTTTTTTTCTTTTCATTTTTATAAGTGGTTGAATCAGCAGATGTGCAACCCTCAGATATAGAAGGGGGTCAATAATTTTGAAAACATCTTTTTCCAGCAGTTACAGGGCTGGCTATAGTTAGTGTATTGTTGGTTAGAGCACAGTGCTGATAACACCATGGGTCCCTGTACTGGCCAGCCACGGTGGGGGTGGGGGGGTAGAAAGAAAAGTAAAATAAAAGAGCTCACACTGCAGCAGGTATGAGATAATTTACAAGGGAGAAATTCTGCATGGATTAGACTGGGTATGTATTTTCTAAAAACACCTTTTTTCTCTTCCACACATGCCTGTAATCTCAGCCTTTAATTATTGTATGTGGAACCATATAGTTTAGCTGTGTTCAGGGGAGTATGGATACAGGTGATAAACATTACTTCTAGGCCAGGCAATAAAAAAAAATATGCAGTTGTCCCTGATTTCTCATTCTCTGGGACTGAAGGGCAGAGGACTCCTAGGGTAGAGTCAGGGGCCATAGGTGGGAGAAATTCACCATAGTTTAATGAGACAGACTGAATTGAAGAAATGATAGTTCTTTCCAACTCTATCCCAAAATTCTTTATTCATACTTTATGTAAGAAATGCTTACTATGGCTGGCCATTTCACGTGTGATCTCTTTGTGTTATGACACAAGTAGCCCACTGTGCTGACTATGAACTTTCTGAGAGAAGTTACCAGTTCTCAAATGTGAGAATATTCACACAGAACAGAAACTTGTATTGTCACCTTTTATACCCAAGTCTGCTTATGGGAAAACTCAATTATTGGGAGAAACAATGCAATACATATGGAACACCTTAATAGGTGGGGACTTCTCATTGAATAGTTGTTGGGCCTATTTTTAGGAGCAAACATTATCTGTGAGCCACATGATGCCTATGGGTGGAAGATGAAGATGGCACCTGCGGGAAGTAGGGGAGGTGTAACCCAAGATAGCTCCAAAAGGTTTTTATTGGTCCTCCAGTATTTCTGCACTCATGAGCCCTCTGTGATCGCTGTGCTCAACATAGTACAAAATGCATGCCCGCATGATCCTTTAATTGATTGGTTAGTTCATGGAAAGCCCCTACTTGCTTGCTTATATAAATTGCAGTGTAATGGCAATAAAGTAGAACTGCCCTGACAGAACCCCTGCCGTATCTGAGTGTCTCTTTCACGGGGCTGGGTTGGTGGGCAGAAGGCTCATTTTTCCCCGAGATCCCTTGGTCCCAACACTGGGGGTAATCCTGTCAACTCCTTCTCCTGGGTTTGTGGGAGGACCCCAGGTGTGTCCCGCAAATAGTGACAATAAGTTTATCTTCATCAATATCTTTAGTGTGTCAAAGCTTTCAACATAACTCTCACTTTTATATATCATAATTTGAAATTAAAACTATCAATTTACATAATGTAAATGCAAATTTTCCAATAGAGTTGATAAATGTAGGATCAAAACTATTTTTAAAGTTTTGACTGTCTAACAGCAGTTAAATATGAGTGGTGATATTGCCTGCCGGGGGACATTTGGCTATGTCTGAAGACATTTTTGTTGTTATAACTGGAAGTTACGGTTAGGTATAGTGGAAAGAAGGCAGAGATGCTGCCATATAGCCTACAATGCACAAAACATCCCCAAGTATGCTGCATTTATGCATGTAAGTATTATTTGTTAAAAATTTATCCTCATAGAAGCCAGCACAACTATGGATAGGAAATACCTACACATAGGATAATAGTGTGACTTATATCAGAATTTTTATATTAGCCTATTAATTTTTACAAATCATACTTATTCTTTATGCCCTTTATCCAATCTCTACCCTCCCCCTTCTAGTCACCATAGATTTGTTCTGTCCATCTGATAGATTAACTGATCCTCTGTTGGTTTGTTGCATAGATGATCTGTCCAGTACTGAGGCAGGTGTGGTCAAGTCCTCCCATTATCATAAATCAGATGCTTTTACTCTGTAGTATGTTTGTGGAGAGTGTTGTTTTGTTTCAACTGGTGTCTCTCCTTGTGTCAATGCGGTTGAGAGTCTGGGGGTATCATTTGCACAGTGGCTGTGACTGCTGCTATAGAGCCTAGTTGCTTTTGCAGTGGCCACGGCAATTGTGGCTATGTGGGCTACCTGCATGAAAATGGTGTTTTTGGTATACTCTGTACCTGGTTGTGGCTGGGTTCAACTTCCCCTGACTCCATGCCTTAGAACCCCAGTGTGGCCCAGGGTGGTGGTGGTGGCTCTCCCAGTTCTGGCTGGATTCAGCTTTCCCCAGCTGCAGACCTCTGGACCCTGGCAGGGCCCAGACAGTGGCAGCTGCTTGCCTAGTCATGGCTGTGTTCAGGTTCCCCTGGCTCCATGCCTCATTTTTTTTTTTTTTTTTTTTTTTTTTTTTTTTTTTTTTTTTTTTCCGTGTCCGGCAATGGATCGCAACCCTCAGTGTTGCCCCCGTACCGGACCGGGGACCGGCAACGGGATTGCAACCCTCGGTGCTGCTCCCGCGCCCCGCTCAGCCAGGGAGCGGGAACCGGTCTGTATGTGGGATCTGAACCCTCGGGTGGGAGCGCCGCCATGCTTCCCAAGTGGCGCACTATCCAGTGCGCCACCGGGCCGGCCCTCCATGCCTCATTTTAAGATATTGTGGAGCAGTTGGGGAGGAGAAGGGTGAGGGGCAATAGGGTGGGAAGAGGGGGAATGAGGTGGAGAATGATCAAATCCTGTGGCCTCACTCCTTCAAGGGAGGCCAGGGAGCTTCTAGCAATGGCTGGGTTGTCACTGGGCTGGATGCAGATGTCAGGGGATGTGGTTCAAGCCCTTGGTCCCCAACTGCCCCAGCTCAGGAGCCTAGGGTGCTTCCTACAGCACCTCACTGGTTGTCACTGGGCTGGTTTTGATGTCCAGGAGATGTGGCTGAGGCCCTTAGCTCCCCATTGCCCCAGCTTGGGAGACCAGGGCACTTCCTGTGGTGGCACAATGGTCATCACTTACAGATGTTAGGGGGTGTGGCCAAGACCCTTGGCCCTCCACCATCCTAGCTTGGGATCCCAGGGGACTACCAGCAGTTCCTTGGTCATCACTGGGCTGGTCTTGGATTTGGGGGGGGATATGGCTGAAGCCTTTGGCACTCCACAGCCCTGGCTCAGAATCCCAAGGTGCTTACTGTAGCAGCTCAGTGGTCATCACTGGGCTCATTATGGACGTCAGGGGTGGTAGTGGTTGAGACCCTTGGTCCCCCAAAGCCCCATCTCAGGAGCCCAGGGCACTTCCTGTGGTGGCTTGGTTGGATGCAGATGTTGGGGGCGTGTGGCTGAAGCCCTTGGCCCCTCAGTGCCCTGGCTCAGGAGCCCAGGGTGCTCCCTGTGAAGGCTCCGTTGTCATCACTGGGCTGGTGGCAGATGTTGGGTAGGCATGGCCGAGGCCCGAGGCCCTCCCACCTCCTGGGCTTGGGAGCCCAGGGGCATCCAGTCCTTCTAGGTTTTATAGGTGTTCTTTGGTGGTGTTAGCCCTTTACTAGTAAAGATCAAACTTTGTCTCTGGTCTGTGGATATTTTGTTTTTTTCTTTCACTTCTGTGTTGGATTACTCACTGTTCCCACCACTTAAACTCTGCACTGGAATTAGTGGGTTGTCCTTTGCTTCTAAAATGGGGAAACTTCCCATGAGGAGCAGCACGTGAGCCCTGTGGTTTAGCTAAATTGCTGCTTTGTTGCTGATTCCCTGGGGAAGGCTTTCTGTGCAGATCATGGTTTTTTTTTTCTTCTGAATGCTGACACTTTATTGAAGCATGTACACACTTTTTATACTTTTTCTTGGAAGCAACATAATCATTGAAATAATCATCGAACAATATCATAATATCTCTTTGTGAGTGACATGTGTTTTAAGAAAACTAACATTACATTACAGTTTGTTTCCATGATTACAATGTTCTTTCTTTTGAGGAAAATAAACGTTTACAAGAAACCCACTCGTCCTAAATAATCATTAGCTATTACATTTATTCAAGTAAACCTACGCTACATTGAACTTTGTATGACCTTACTGAAACACAATCCAAACTTGTCTCTTAATTAAAGAATGCAAGCAAGAAATCAAAGTTCCCTTTACCAGTATTTTTCCATTGCTAATACATATCATAATATTACATAAGATTTTCTTATCTACTATATATTATAGTGTTTTAAACCTTATGAAAATACTCCAAAACTTAACTTGAATCTATATATATAAAAGAAAAAAGTTTATATCTGATTTTAAAAGCAAGCAGGTTAGGCTCAGTAATAGTTATGTTGCTTAGCAACTTTTAAGTAAGTTTTTAAATAACAACTCCATTATGTTCACTAATTGCATTAAAAACAATCCTTCCAGGAAGCAGACAAGGTAAATGTTCACATAGGCTCATTGTCCCCTTCTGGTCCTAGCTGCCACGGACCACTTTCAGAAAACTCATGACTATAAATCCCAGGTGGGTCATAAGTATGATTAAACACTCTGGTATAATTTTTAATCTCACTTCCAATTTCCCCAGAGCGATAATTATGAGGCAGTAAAGAATAAAGTATAAGCAAACACACAGGGCTCTAAAAAAAATGAGGGTGGAACGGTGGCACCCCTTTCCATGACGAGGCCTTGCAAACACCATGTCAAACCAGAGGATCCTTGTCAAACTCTGGCTTCTTGGAT